TAGGGCTGGGGCCCGGGACAGGAAAATGTTGAGCAAATATTAGATACTTGGCTGTAGCAACTCCACCCCTGGGAGAATTGAGCCTGTACCAGGGGACAGCAGCCAGAGCTACCTGGGCAAGGAGTCAACTTTTTGGTCGCAGGTTTTGGCAAGCCCGGGCTGTGGAAAGCTTCCTCCGAGGGACAACCTCCTATGCAGACCAGATGTTCCTGCTGAAGCGAGGCCTTCTGGAGGTATATGGTGGAGGAACTGGGGTATCAGGTGGTCATCCTCCCCGGCCCCTCCAACTGACTTCTCGTCCTGAGCACTAAGCAGACGGTCAGGAGCAGGCCAGGTGTGGTTCCTAGTGCACATTGCTCCAGTGTTGGCCCTGGGTGCCAGCTGTGGACTCCGTAGGTACTGAAGGATGACTGAGAGGCTCAGGTTGTGGTGCAGGAATGTAGAATACCAAGTTACCCAGCAAGGCCTTTGAAAGTCTTACTGATTTGTGTATGTTTTAAAGAGTTTCATTGATAAGCGCAAAGACAGCCCATGGGTCAGAGTGCACCTCTGTCCCTGAACTCTGTCCTTCATTTCCCTAAGAGACCTAGTGCTTAGGCAGCAGCCCTCGCTAGATCTGGAGACAGCGAACTGTGACTATGTAAGTGGCTGTGAAGCGAGTTGGAGGCTTGGCCTTGGGGAAAAGAGCACTGCATGCCCACCCATTCTAGCAGGCCTGCCCACCCAGTGCCCTGCTGAGGTCAGTCACCTTGCTCTTTCTCTGGAGCCACCAGTGTCCTCCCAGAAGAACAGAGACAAAGGTGCAGGTTCTATCCACCTGGTTGCTTGCTCGAAGCAAGTGGGTGGTCTGAGCTCCAGCCAGGCTGAGTGGTAGACCCATACACACCCTCACCCCATCCCCTGCTCACACCAGCACATCTTATACTGCATCGTGGACAGCGAGTGCAAGTCAAGGGATGTGCTCCAGAGCTACTTTGACCTTCTGGGAGAGCTGATGAAGTTCAATGTCGACGCGTTCAAGAGATTCAACAAATACATCAACACTGATGCAAAGGTAAGGCTTGCCTGGGGCCTCGTGTTGTTTGCTGTGGTGTCAGTTTTCTGTGGGCCTTGGCCTGCCTGTCTTCAGGTGTGGTCACACATTTGGAAGAGTCTGGAATCCGGAGAGCAGTTTTCAGCAAACATTCACTATACCTATTCTGTCTGGCTTCGAGCCAGACTGTTGGGACGAGAATTTGGCTGTTACAGATCATACAGCCCAGCAGGGCGAGCAGGCACTCTGTCCTGTCTGCTGCCTGGCTGCAGCTGCCCCTCCTGGCCCCGGCCAGCAGCTCTGCCAGTGAGCACATCTCTGCTCCAGTTCCAGGTGTTCCTGAAACAGATCAACAGCTCACTGGTGGACTCCAACATGCTGGTGCGCTGTGTCACCCTGTCACTGGACCGATTTGAGAACCAGGTTGACATGAAAGGTGAGGAGGCCAGGGTGCCAAACGACTGCCAGACCTCTGGTCTCCAGCCAGGAGTTGCCGAATTGCTTGTGCTCATATCTGTGTGCCTTGGGTCAAGAGGGTGGTCTCGGCCCCCTTGCCCAGCTGTCAGCTTCTCCCCTGATCCGCTTCATTTAATGAACACGTGGAACATCTTGGTAAGGGAAAAGCCACCCTCTGGGCTGAGCACTTAGAGGGAGCATTGTCCCTTCATTCTCCTTTCCTGCGCAGGACTGTAGTGTGCAGCTGTGGTGGGTGTGTCAGACCTCACCAAGAATTACGTGTACATACGTGCTTTGTTTCCCTAGAGGTCTGTGGTACCAAGCAGATTCTCACAAATGTATGAACACTTCTAAAAAGGACACTATTTCTCGTCACTGTAATTGGTAGCAAAAAGCATGGATAACTAGGCCATCTGCCTCCTGTCTCTCTGAAGGGTCTATTTTAGGAGGTTGGTCACATACACTTTAGTGTAATTAGTTATTGAGTGCTTTTCCAATAGTCGGGGAGGTCATTTGCTCAGGGTCCTTTGCACCCTGACTACAGCAGTGGACACAGACCTGTGTGAGAGCTATGGCAAACCAGTCTTGTTAGGAGCTCTGGAAAGTGGTTTGCATTTGACTTTTTGTCTGTTTGTGTGTGGTTTATATATGTGTGGATTTGTACACATGTGGAGTCCAGAGGTTGATATCAGGGTCTCTTTTTCCACCTTTAATTTTTGAACAGTTTCCTTCCCACTGAACCTGGAGCTCATGGATTCGGCTAGGCTGGCCAGCCAGTGAGCCTCAGGGATCTGCCTGTCTGTGAGCCCTGCTCCGGGTTTTCGCCTGGGTTCTGGTGATCCAAGTCCTATCCCTCATGTTTGGGCAGCAGCCCTTCGCCCAGTGGTCCGTCTCCCTGGGCTTGCTGTCTGAGAAGGAGCGTGTGTCGGAGTGGGAGCTGCTGCCAAGCTGGGCAGGAGCGGCAGGAGGGGCCGCTTTCTGAGTGAAATCTCCGAGTTTGCTCTAGCCTGATGACCAGTTAGAGACTGACCGGTTGTTGCAGCTTTTAAAACATTGGCTTGCTGTGCTTGTCTATAAATGTGAACTGTGTGTCTGTGTGTGGGTATGTGCGTGTAAATGCAGGGGTAGGGGAAGCCGGAGCTGGCGTTGAGATGGGTGTGAGCCGCCCTGGCAGGTCCTGTGAAGAGCAGCAAGTAGTCCCTGCTGAGCCTCTCTGCAGCCCCTAACATAGTTGTTTTGGCGGTGAGAGAGCAGCAGCTGCAGAGTCAGGAGCAAAGCGGACTTAGGCAGTGGCTTGAGCGACCTGCCACTGCGCACCTGCTGCAGCGCCGTCTCCCTCCGCAGTGGCTGAGGTCCTGTCCGAGTGCCGCCTGCTCGCCTACATTTCCCAGGTGCCCACGCAGATGTCCTTCCTCTTCCGCCTCATCAATATCATCCATGTGCAGACACTAACCCAGGTGAGATGTCCCGGCAGTGAGCAGTCAGGGAGGGTAGACTGGAAACCATTTCTCTCCTCCTGGAGCCCAGCATGGCTGTATTTCTCCCCTTCTCTCTAGAAAGAATTGCTCTTCGTAGGGTGTTGCTCAGTGCCCCAGTTTACAGGGATGCTAAGACCAGATGTCAAGTCTCCTGAGGTCGTAGGGTCAGTTGGGGCAGAGGTGGGACTGGCACTGCATTTTTTTGACTGCAGGCCAATGTCCTCCTGTGTCCCTTGTCCCCTACCTTCCGTCTGCACTGGGCTGCGGAACTAGACTGTCCCAACTCCTTTCCTGACGAGCGGCCTTCCTCCTTCAGCCTCACAGGCACTTTGCTAAGATGAGATTCACACTAGTACCTCTGAGCAGTGGGGTCTTTCATTGCAAGCCATGGGGCCAGGGACGCTTGGTGAACGAGGTAAACTGAGACTCTTGCTTCTGAAGTTCATGTCCTCGTGCAGCAGTGCAATTCTCCAGTGAACTGACTGCACCCAGCTTATGCACCCAGCCCCAGCAGGGTGTGAGGCTTCTGGAAGAAGTCACATCTGACCCGAGATGTAGACGAGGATCAGGGTTACAGTCAGTGTGACTGGTGGCAGGCGCAACAGGAAAGTGCCCATGGATTGTGCCGGGCCTCTGGGCTGGCCTAGAATACCCTTCTCTGTGCCCAATGGCTGTCCGGGCTCACTGGCATCCTGAGGCTGCTGACTTGCACCTAGTCCAGCTGCCTTTGACCTTGCAGGAGAACGTCAGCTGCCTCAACACCAGCCTGGTGATCCTGATGCTGGCCCGGCGGAAAGAGCGGCTGCCGCTGTACCTGCGGCTGCTGCAGCGCATGGAGCACAGCAAAAAGTACCCCGGATTCCTGCTCAACAACTTCCACAACCTGCTACGCTTTTGGCAGCAGCATTACCTGCACAAGGACAAGGACAGCACCTGCCTGGAGAATGTGAGTGCCCCAGCCCATAGTGACAGAGCCAGTCAGGTTACGGAGTGTGGGCAGGCTGCTCACGGTTCCCCTGCCAAGTCCCTGTGTGACACCAGGCTTGGTCCAAGTCCTCCGCACACCCCCAACCCCCTCCCCCTCTCTTCACTCAGAGCTCCTGCATCAGCTTTTCATACTGGAAGGAGACAGTGTCCATCTTGTTGAACCCAGACCGCCAGTCGCCTTCTGCCCTGGTCAGCTACATTGAGGAGCCCTACATGGACATAGACAGAGACTTCACTGAGGAGTAACCTTGAGCCAGGCTTGGAGAAGCTGCTGGGCCAGGACAGGTGTGGGTGAGCGCGAGTGCACATGCCACGCACTCTGCCCGTCCCTGTCCCTCTCTTGCCTCCCCACTGCTCTGTCTACCCCAGGTCTTCAGGTACAGGCTCAGTGGAAGGAATATCCTAGAAGCTCTTGTCTCCTGGGTCTGAGGACCCGGGTCACTGGGGAGCCTGTTTCCTCACTGTCCCCAGAGTAAGGACAATGGCACCATGCCCACCCTTCCCTCGAGACCCTGGAGCCCTGGCCTGCCAGAGAAAGGGAACATGGGACGCTGTCTCTGTGTGAGCGTCTCCCATCAGTCCCACAATGGAGAAGAAGATGCAGACTCCTGTGAGCCAAGCTTCCCTGGCCTCGGGGCCCAGGCAGAGAGGCTCCCGAGTCCTGGCCAGGGGTGGGTACTGGAGAACGCTGCCTTCCCCCAGGTCTGCCCATCTCTCCTCCCTCCTGACCTCCCTTGTCTTCCTTTAGCTCCTCTGGTTCTTTGCTCACTGGCCACTGTGTTCATCCTGAAGGGTCCCCAGAAGTGGGGTCTTTTCTCTCCATCCCTTGGGGCATGGAGCGCCTGTGCCTGCCTGAGCCCAGACACAGGAGCCTGGCCGGGAGCTCACCCTTAGCTCCTCCTGTGTTGCCAGTTTATTAACAGCAAATAAACCAATTAAATGGAGACTATTAAAGAACTTTATTTTAAAGACTGATGTGGACCTGACTTTGTCCATGAGATTCTGTTCCCAGCTCTCCTAGCCCCAAGAAATAAGGACAGTGGCTGTTCATGCAGACATGGTGTTTATTCGGGGTTTCAGGGCTCAGGGAGGGTGGAGTGGCAGATGGGAAGAGACAACAGGATCACACTGGATACTCCTCTTCAGAGCCTGGGGTGTCTGTCACTCCTTGTGCTAGATAGGAGAACGAGACTACACTACAGCACCTGTGTCTCCGCGACTTCAGCACACACACAGCACAGAGGCTGCCTCACCTTGGGGCCCAGGGCATCCCTGGTCCTTGCCCGCAGCTTGTTCGCCTGGGTCTCTGCCATGTCTGCCCGCTCCTCGGCATCGTCTAGCTCGTGCTGGGCCTTGCGGTACTTAGCCAGGTTGGTGCTGGCCTGCTGCTCCTAGAGGTACGCGCAGGGCCATTGGTGACTAAAGGGCCGCCCTGCCCCCACTCCCAGAGAGCAGCTGGCTTCCCCTGGGCCTCCCTCCACTCTTCCTGTCACCAGCCTTCCCCTTACTGGTACCCACACAAGGAAAAGGAAATGGAGACCTTCCTTCAAGAGGTGCCTGTGTGTCACCTGCCCTGAATCAGGCTGTGCCAGGCCTGGGCTGAGGAAAGAAGCTTTCACTTTTAGTCCCTTCTAAAGGTCTAAGTGACCAAGCTCTAGCCATAGGAGTCCCTGGGTTGAGAGGACATGGAGCCACCCTTAGCGCACCGCTGCCGATGCCTCCCTGGCCACAAGCCCGGAGGTTGAAAGCGGCTCACCGCGGGCGTCCTGAACACATGCTTGGGCCCAGTGTGCTCACCGCCTCCTCGAACTGACGCTTGTAGCTCTTGACCTTGCTCTGTAGCTTGTCCACCAGGTCCTGCATGCGAGCCAGGTTCTTCCTGTCTTCCTCCGTCTGGGCAAGCACAGGGGAGCTGAGGGCTCGCCCGGGCTGGCTTTGCTCCAGTGCGGCCTCCCGCCGGGGACCCCGTCACCCACCTGGTAGGCAAGCTCCTTGACACGGCGCTCGTGCTTGCGCACGCCCTTGAGGGCCTCGGCGTGTTTCTTCTGCTCCGCATCGAGCTCTGCCTCCAGCTCCCGCACCTGGGGGACGGTTGGAGGGTGGCCTGCTGGCTGGGCCAGCCCTAGCCTCAGCCCCAGGGGAAGGACGGGCTTCCGGCTGCACTCACCTTGGCCTCCAGCTTCTGCACTTGCTTCTTGCCGCCCCTGAGGGCCGCCTGCTCCGCCTCCTCGAGGCGCGCCTGCAGCTCCCGCACCGTCTGCTCCAGCGTCTTCTTCATCCGCTCCAGGTGTGCGCTGGTGTCCTGCTCCTTTTTCAGCTCCTCAGCCATCATAGCTGCCTGTCGAGGAGGAGGAAATAGCATGGTGGCGAGGGGCAAAGGTAGTCCCTTTGGGCGATGGACCCGCTCATCCCCAGCCCTGGCCCAGCCTCGGCCCAGTCTCACATCGGTGATGGCCTTTTTGGCCTTCTCTTCGGCTTCCCGCCTCTCCTGCGCGGCCTCCTCCACCTCCCCACTCAGCTGGGCCAGGTCCACCTCCAGCTTCTTTTTCTGGTTCAGGAGGCCTGTGTTCTGAGGGGGGCAGAGCCTCAGCTGGCCAGCAGGGCCCTGCCCCGTCCTTGGCCACATCTTTGGCCCACGCGCACCTGTGAGTGCAGGAGGTTGAGGCGCTCGGTGGCCTCCAGCAGCTCCTGCTCGGCCAGCCTTCGGCTGCGCTCGCCCTGCTCCAGGGCGGCCCGCAGCTCCTCCAGCTCGGCCGCCAGCAGAGCCGCCCTGCGCTCCAGCGCCTGCCCCTGCTCGCGGAGCTCGGCCGCTATCCGCTGCTCCTCGTCGCGCCCCGCCTGCTCCTCCTTGAGCTGGGCCTGCAGCAGCCTCGTGGCTGCCTGTGCCTCCATGACCTGGCGGGTGGCGTGGCCCAGCTGTAGCTCCAGCTCATTGAGGTCCCCCTCCATCTTCTTCTTGAGCCGCAGCGCTTCGTTGCGGGCCCTAGTCTCGGCATCCAGGGAGGCCTGCAGGGACTCCACGGCCCGCTGGTGGTTGCGCCTGTGAGAAGGTGGCATGAGGGCAAGCTTGGCCTACAGGAGTGGAGGTCGGGCATTGCCTGTGGCATGGAGATGGGAACCCATAAGAGAAACAAGCGAATTGCTCCTGTGTTTTAAAGCCCCTTGCGACTTGCCAAGAACAGCAAGGTTTTTTTTTTTTTTTTTTTTTTTTTTTTTTTTTTTTTTTTTTTTTTTTCACTAGAAGCCCAGAGGGACATGGGCTGAGCCCTGGCCCTGAGCGTCCTTTAGACTTGTGGACCAGGGACACCCTAGTCCCGTGGCCCGGGCAGAGCAGCGCTTCCTGCCCGTGTGCCGCCATAGGCATAGCAAGGCTGCTTTGCGGAGACCTCAGGTTGGTGCACTCCTCGTCCTTCTCCGCCAGCTTCCGGTCCACTTCTGCCTTGACCTGGGACAACTCCAGCTGGATCCGCAGAGTCTTGGTCTCCTCCAGCTCCAGGGTCCCCTAGGGATGCGAATGAGGGTGTGAGAAGCCGGGAGCCGCAGAGCAGAGTCCACCCACCCCTGCGGCCGGCCCTGACCTCGGCCTCCTCCAGTGCGGCCTGCAGCTCGCTCTTCTCCCCTTCCAGTGCCTTCTTGGCTTTCTCCAGTTCCTGGATGCTCTTCCCACTGAGGCCAACCTGGTCTGTGAGGTCACTGATCTCCTCTGCGGGGTGACAGAGCACGGAGGACTCAGCAGGTCACGTCCTCCACCCCAGCTCCGAGGTGCCCCTCCAGCGCCCTGGATCCAGGTCCTACCCTGCAGATTCTTGTTCTCGCGCTTGAGCGTCTCCAGGGCCTCGAGCGCCTCCTCGTGGCTGTGCCGCAGCCGAAAGAGCTCGGTGCCCAGAGCCCGCGCCTCCCTCTGCGCAGCCTCAAGTTCGCGCTGCGTCTCCTCCTCCTGCCGCCTGCGCTCCTCCAGGGCCCGCTCCAGGTGCCTCTGCTTCTTATCCAGGGCGGCAGCGGCCGAGGTGGCCCGCTCCAGCTCCAGGCTCACGTCCTCCGACTCCGTCTGCAGCCGCAGCTTGGCCTTCTCCAGGGAGGAGCATTTGGCATTTGCGGCCTCCACGCCTTCTTCTGCCTCCTGCAGCCTCAGGGCCAGCTTCTTCCTGGATCACGGACCGGCAGGGCCTGAGGAAAGGACCCCAGATCCCCACCACCCGAATCTCTCCTGGGTCACGCTGTGGTCGCTACGCACTTGGCCTCCTCCAGCTCCTCCGTCCTTTGGATGGCGTCTGCCTCGTACTTGCTCCTCCACTGGGCCACCTCGGCGTTGGCTTTGGACAGCAGCCGCTGCAGCTCAGCCTGAGCCTCCGACTCTTCCTCATGCTGTTCTCGGAGCAGGTCACAGTCGTGCCGCAGAGCCTGCACTGCGTGAGCCAGCGCGCCCTTGGCCTGCGGGGACACCAGTGGCCTCAGCATCAAGGGCAGCTAATGGCTCCCAGCGGCCACCTGTGTGCCACGCAGCGGCCAGTGCCAGTCCACCTTGCTCTCCTCCTCCAGCTGCCTCCGAAGTTCCTCCAGACTCTGAGCCGCCGAGGTCTTGCCGCGGCTCAGCTGGCTGATCATAGACTCCTTCTCCTCCAGCAGGCGGCCCAGCTCCCCTGCGGGGAAGGGCCAGGGGTCCAGTCGGCCGGTCGGGGGGCACCGCCTCCACCCTCCCTGGCCCGGCCCGGCTACAGGGCCTCACCGTTCTCCGTCTGCAGCCGCCCCCGCTGCGTGCTGGCGTCCGCCAGCTGTCGCTGCAGCTCCTCGGCCTTGTTCTTGGCCTCGCTCAGCTGATCCTCGTAGGTGCGGCACAGCTTTTCTGCACTGGCCTGGAAGCCGGGGTCAGGTAAGACAGGTTTGTGTGCACCCAGGGGCAGGAGCCAGCGCTGCCAGGCAGGGGGCAGGGACCTGGGACTGGGACGGGGCACTGGGTGTGAGAGCGGGGGTGGAAACGAGCTTAGAGGGCCAGGCCCAGTGTCCCGGCTCCTACTGTGGCCACAGACTGGCGGCCTCGAGGCCCAGCCCAAGGTTCGTGAGTCAGGTAGTAGGTACTGGATCTGGACTCGGCTGCGAACAGGTGGCAGGATTGGGGGGGGGGGGTCAAAGTTGGATGCTGGGGTTCAGGACAAGAACGGTGTTGGGGCTGAGGTCCAGAGCGGAGGTCACACTTCTATTGCGTGAAGGGCTGAGGGTTGGGTGTGAATCAGAACAACATGGAGCCAGGGCAGGAAGCTGGGCAGTCGGGGTTCGAGGTCAGGACTGATGGGGAGCGGGGGGTTCGAGGCCAGGATAGGTGTGCGGGGTCAGGAGGTCCGTGCTGTTGTGGAGCATTGGCGAGAAGCGGCCAGAGCTGGAGAGGGTCAGTCCGCGCGGAGTCTGACTGGCTGCAGGCCAGAAGGGGGCGCACCTTGCCTCGGGCCAGAGTCTCCACGCTGGCGCCCAGGTCGTCCACCTCCATGCGCAGCTCGCTCTTCTCCTTCTCCAGCTTCTGCCGGATGCGCTGCAGGCTGTCCACCTGCTCGCCCAGCTCCGCCGCGCTCTCCGCCTGCTTGCGGCGCAGGGCGGCCACGGTGGCCTCGTGCCTCAGGACGGCCTCCTCCAGCTCCCGCCGCAGGCGGCCCAGCTCGGCCTCGCGCTTGCGGCAGCCCTCCCGCTGGCCGGCCGACGCGCCGCCCGCCTCCTCCAGCCTCTCGCTCAGCTCCTCCAGCTCGCGCGCGGCCTCCGCCCGCTGCTTCTCCACGCGCGCCCGGGCCGCTCGCTCCGCCTCCAGCTCCTCCTCCAGCTCCTCCGCCCGAGCCTGGGCACACGGCACCGACGCCCTGAGCGGCTGAGCGGGGCCTGCTCGCCCAGCGCGGCCCCCGCGGGCCCCGGCCTCACCTGTAGCTCCTTGATCTTCTTCTGCAGCTGGACGCCTAGGAGCTGCTCGTCCTCCACCCGCAGGCTCAGCTGGCTCAGCTCGGAATCCTTCCTGGGAGTGCACGGCGGGAGGAACCAGCCGTGGCCCTCCCTGCCGCCGCCGCCCCCCGCCTCCCTCCGTGAGGTCCTAAGGGCCCCAGCGCTGGCCCCAGTCTGCCGTCCTCAGCCCTGGCCCAGCGAGGGCAGGACCTGACCCCTGCCCTGGCGTCCTCCCCAACGGGGCCGCGAGGACTCAGAAGGGCGGAGAGCCCATCTTAGACCCCACACCTACTTCTTCAACTTCTCCTCCAGCTGCTGCTTGTCCTGGGTGGTGTCCGTCACCATCTCCTGGGTCAGCTTCAGGTCTCCCTCGAGTTTGCGCTTGGCACGTTCCGTGTCCATGCGCAGCTTCTTCTCTTGCTCCAGGGAGCACTCCAGCTGTGGGGCAGAGGGCGCTCAGCCTCGAGCGTCAGTGTCGCCACCCTGGCAGTCCCCCAGGGCACCCAACTCACGTCCTCCACTTGCTGCTCCAGCCGGATCTTGGCCTTGGCCAGCGCGCTCACGCGGTCCTCCTCGGCCTGCAGGTCGCCCAGAGCCTGCTGGTGAGCCTCCTGCAATGCCTTCTTCTCCTTGGTCAGGCGGACCACGGACTCATCCAAGGCAGCCATCTCCTCGGTCAGGTTCTTCACCTGTGCCAAGGCCCGGTTCACGGTGGGCCCGTTCCTCCCCACAGGCGGTCTGAGCAGCCACCCCCTCCAGCTCAGGAGACTGAGCCTACACCGTCCCGCCTGAGGGCTTTATCTCCTCCTTGAGATGCGAAGGAGTCATGGGTGAAGCTTCACAGCCGGGCATAGTGCCTGGCCCGGAGGAGGAGACCAGTGGGTGGCACCATTTAAACACGGGGTCCATGAGCCGTGTCCTAGCGCCCCCTGCGGCAAGCTTGCAGTCAGGACAGATGGTAATTGCTGCCATTTACCAAGTACCTACTGTGTATACTTGCAAGTATACAGTGTATACTTGTAGTGGATGCTTAGCAAAGGCCAGTTACACCCTAATGAGATAAATGCTGGTGCCCCCACTTGACAGAGGTGAAAACTGAGGCTCACAAGAGGCAGTGACCTGCCTCAGGCTACAGAACAGGGGCCCAGTAGAGCCGGAAGGGGCCCCTGTTGCCACCCAACACCAAAACTGGTCCCCAACTCAGGCCCTTCCCACACCTTGTTCTCAGTGGCTTGTTTCTCCTTCTCGGCCTTGGCCAGTGTCAGCTCCAGGTCATCTATGTCCTTCTTGAGCTCTGTGCATTCGTCCTCCAGCTTGCGCCTGCGCGCAGCTAGGTCAGCGTTCACTTCCTCCTCATCTTCCAGCCGCTCATTCAGCTCCTTCACCTTCGCCTCAAGCTGCACCTTGGATTTGATCAGCAAGTGGCAGCGCTCTTCCGCATCCGCTAGGTTGTCCTGCTCCTGAGGACATGGGGGGTGGGCAGTTCAGGGAGAGCCAGCATCTGAAGGCTCAGCCCTGGGAAAGAGAGGCCCTTTGTCCATGCAAAGGCAACTCCAGGGCTGGAGAGGCAGCTCAGCAGTTAAGAGCACTGTCTGCTCTTCCAGAGGTCCCGAGTTCAATTCCCAGCCACCACATGGTGGCTCATGACCATCTGTAATGAGATCTGGTGCCCTCTGCTAGTACATATTCACCTTCATTAAATAAATAAGATGAGTCTTTTAAGAAACAAAAAAATAAAGTCAACTCCGGTGAGGCTCATATTGGCAATTCAATTTGATAGATGAGGAGTCGAAGCACCTACACTCTACTGGGCTCTGGGACTACTGCAGGGGCCTGCCTCATAACCCCAATATTAAAAGGAGCGTTTTACAGCCATCATGGCCGTAGATTCCCCAGGCCTCAGCCTGAGGCCAGCATCCAAGTGACATTCAAAACCTATGCTGGGGAGTTTCCAGAGTTTGACCCCTGTCCTCTGGGTATCACCCTGTTACCTGCCTCAGAGTCTCGTGTCCCTGAACCAGAGAAGGGAGCAAGGGTATAGTTCAGGGAGATCAAGGCTGGGGGCTCTGGGGCTCCCCAGCAGCTTTAGGACATGTGGACACTCAAGGCCTTCGGGGAAGGCTGGGTAGACACTGAGCCTCCAGGCCTCATATCCTGGTCCTTCCAGAGTAGAAAGACAACACAGAAGGCCCAAGTGCCCAGAGGCCTCCCCGCCCCCAGCTGCACTGGCTACAGCCTGCTCACAGCCCTTGTCCCACTCACCGCCTGCAGCTGCAGGGCCAGGTCATTCTTCTCCTGAGTGACGCTGACGTGAGTCTCCTCCAGCTCCTGCCGCTTGGCCTCAGCAGCAGCCAGAGCCCCCCGAAGCCCCCGCAACTCCGCACGCAGCGCGGCCAGCTCCTCTTCCGCCTGTGCTGAGCGCAGCAGCGGCTTCATCTTGAAGAAGAGCTTCATCCAAGACCAGTTCTTGACGGCATTGAAGGCCCGGATGTTCCACTGGATGGTAAACAGGGCGTCCCTAGGGAGGGACAGCTCCTGTGAGGCAGCAGACCCTGCCCTTTCAGGGTGCTTTGGCCTCTCTCCATGTAGTGGTCCTCGTAGCCCTTGGGGTAGGTCAGTCTGGAGGAGTGGCCCCCTCCAAGGCAAAGTCCTGCCCTCCAGATGTCCAGGGGCCTGCGCAAGTGTCTGAGGACAGCTAAGCTAGCAGGCCATGTGGTTACAATGTTTGACTCGGGCCCTCCTCTATGGTACCCACTTGAGAGGGCCGCTTTCTACTTTAACCAAGAAAGTGTCCAGGCCATACTCTGGACATGCAGAAGGGCAGAGGCCACTCTCACCCCAAATTTTAAAAACACGTTCTTTTTAGTGTGTGTGTATACATGTACCACAACTCACATGTGGAGGTTGGTTCTCCCTTTCTACCATGTGGGCCCTGGGGATTGAACTTAGGTCATCAGGCACGGCAGCAGCTGAGCCATCACTCTGGCCCTCACCCCAATTTTCAGGTGATAAAAATGGAGGTTGGGGTGACATGACACAGAACCTCACCCCGACCAGCCATCGGGGGGCAACCGAGGCAGTATGGAAGGGCTGGGGAGCCTTGGGACAGCGATCACACCTGCACCCCACCCCCGCCCCCCAGCTACCTTCCTCCGAGCATGCGCTGGTACTCCAGGCGCATGAGGCGGCCCCGGCTGCGCGCCTGCAGCAGCGTCAACACCTTGGCCAGGCGCTGGTCGCGGAGCTCCTCCAGGGTGCCCAGAAGTCCAGCCTTGAAGAACACCTACGGGCGGGGGGCAGCCAGAGTGGGACCGCGGTCCAGGGTGAGCGCACAGACCCAGGCTCAGCCCTAACTCCAGTCCAGCCTGACCTTGGTGTGGCCAAACTGATACTGAGTGTGGTCAATGTCCAGGGAGCCCAGGAGCTTCTCTGTGGCCTTCCTGCTGTCCACGAAGGTGTCATCTGGGATGGCACTGGGGTTCAGGATCCGGTACCTAGGAGATAAAGGAGAAGCTGCCATGGACAGGACAGGCCACTGACGATGGGAAGCCAGGAGCTGTACAAGAGAATTGTGATTGCCTGACCTCCGAGAGGTGAGGTTCCATATGGACATATGCTGTACAAGATGGCAGAGGAAAGGTGTTGCCGTGCTGGGGGACACAGAACATTCTATACAAACCTCAGCACAGGGGCGAGGTGTGTGGCATACACCCGAAACCCCAGCACTGGGGAGGCAGAAGTGGGAAGATCTTTGAGGCCAGCTCGGTTGCCTGGCCTGATCCTGTCTCAAGGTTGGGCTTGGTGGCTTCAATACAATTTAGTGAGTTTGTAAAGGGACGTGGTTTTATAACAAGCATGCGCTACTTTTATAATTTCTTAAAGGCAAAACCAGAAGTGGTGTACTGTAACATCTCACCCACTTAAGAAACATTTGAGGAAAGGCGCCTTCGCTAGGGGGAACTCGCCAAACAAGGAGTGTGGGTCACTGGGCTACTGGCTGTTTTACAATCAGAAACAACAGCAATGTGCTGGCTTGTGCCTCGACTCTCAGAATTTAGGAGCCTGAGGCAGAAAGAGAGTTATTTTTAATTGCCTGCAGGTATGGACTCATGGAGACCAGAGAGGGGGTGCCAAAGGCCTTGGAGCTAGACTCACACAAAGCTGCTTGTATGGTTTTAAGTCTCCATGTGTGTCACACACACACACACAGGCCAGGAGACAGCCTCAGGCTATCCTCAAGAATTCAGTCTGTCTCCTTTGAGACACAGTCTGCCATCACCAGGAGCTCAGCAGTTAGACTGCTCTGGACGGGTCTAGAACCTCAGAGCTCCTGGCTCCTCAGCACGGGGACAAGGAGTGTGCACCACCCTGCCCAGCTTTTTAAATTTATTTCCTCATTTACTTTTGGCTTTTGTGTTTGAAATGCTGCCCTTGAACTCACTATGTAGCCAGGCTGGCCTCAAACCCTTGGTGACCCTCCTGCCCCAGCCTGCTCAGTGCTGGGATTATTGGTATGAGATACCGAACCCAGGAGTGTTGAGAGTTTGAGGTTAGCCTGAGCTACACAGCAACACCCTGCTTTAGAACAACAGATTGGGGCGGTGCCTTCAGAGTCTTCCCAGATGGGGAACCATCTCCTTGGCCGATGATAACATAAAGACAAACTCACGAGCTCTGTGCGTAGCCACGCCCACTCATACAGTATCTGTGTAGACATCTAATGTGGACAGCAGGTGGGCCGCCCCTGATACTTGTAGAAGGGGAAGCAACTGAGGACACTTCCTTGTAGCTTAGCAAACAGATCCCACCAGGCGAAGCGGGAAGAGAGCCCATGACGTCATGTGCATTCTTTACCTGTCAGGTAGTCCTCCAGGCCCAGTCCACACAACCCCACGCTTAGTTCCCAAATCTGCATCCTCTCTGGCTGCTCACCTGAGCTCCGGAATACTAAATCCAATCCCACTCCTACCTTATCCCCTTAAACCCCTTTCCCTGGCCAGAGCGCCTCCTCCTCAGGAACCTCTCTTTGTCCCTTGGGCTCTAGCATGTCCCTCCCACCCCTCAGGCTCTAAGAGCAGGAGAAGGAGGCTGAGGCAGCCAGCACCCACCGCTGTTTGAAGTCTGCGTACAGCAGCCTGTTGGGGAACCCTTGGCGGCAGATCCGGATCCCTTCCAGGACCCCATTGCAGCGTAGCTGGTGTAGCACCAGGAAGGAATCCATGACCCCTGGACGTGGTGGGAGTGGGAGAAGGAAGTTAGAAGTCTGAGGATGTGCCTTTAGGTCCCTACCCTGGTCTTACTTTGAGACCAAGCAACCCTGCAAGGTGAGGGTCTTAGAAGCTTCTGTTTCCCCCATCCTGGCCACCCAGGGACGCTACCTGGAGTCTTGTTCTCATTGGGGACGATGCACCGGACGAAGTGGGGCTGAGTGGCCCGAAGGTTGGTCATGAGCTTGTTCAGGTTCTCCTGGGAGTGGGGAGAGCAGGGAGAAGGCACAGGAGGGGCAGGGAACCAGAATTGGATGTCACAGTGGATAAGGATCAAAGAGGGCTGGGCAGAGGGACCCAAATCCTCCTTGTGACACCTGCCCCATCCTACCCACCACCAAAGTCTTCACACACACCTCCCACCGCCCCCTCCCGTGGCTCCTCCCTCCCCCCAGCCCTGCCCAGGCAGTGTGGAGGCAGGCAGCAGCACAGACTTGCTGTGATGTTCACGTGGAGAGGAGCTAAACATCACTGCAAGTCTTAACAGCTGCCTGCCCAAGACACAGGGATTGCAGGGAGCAAAGAAGGCGGTGGGCAGCCTGCAGGGCCGGGGCTGCTGGGGCCCTCCGACCTCACCTTGTGGAGCTGGGACACCGTCTGAAATGCTGCTGCCTTCTTGCGCTTCTCTTTCACCCCAGACTTGGGGGGCTCAGCTAGGAGAGATAATGAGAACTGATCATACCAAAGAACATAACATCACTCTGTGGCTCCCCGGGAATGGCCAGCTTGTCCCTCCGTACTCACTGGAGCAAGAGCCTGCATAGTTCTCATACAGGGTGGCCAAGAGTCTGTTCTGTGACTTTTGGAAGATGGGGACCACCGTCTCATTGAGGGGATCCTTGTTTTTCTCCAACCAGCCCACGATGCTATAAGGTACCTAAAAAGAAAAGTGGTGAGCCCAGGTGGTGAGCCTGAGGAGGGAGGGGGACAGTGGTGGAGTGTGGAGCCCCAGCGGGCACCTACCACGCCTGCGTAGTGGACCACCTCAAAGTGAGCCTGGTACTTGCGTTTCTTGTCTGGGCGAGGCTGCTGGAAGTTAGGTGACTTCCCAGAGTGGTTGTCATAGAGCTTGGCCCTGAAGCTGGCATCCGAAGCCTTGGGGAACATGCACTCCTCCTCCAGGATGGAAAGAATGCCCAGAGGCTGGGGACAGGTAGCAAGATTGAAGGGCCAGGGCATGCTGGCAAGGCTCTTAGACCCTCTGTCTCCAGACTAAACTCCTTCTGGGAGCCAATTCACATCTATAACCCAGACATCTGCAGGAGAGCCAGGGATACATGCAGACCCACCTTCCAGGAGGGAAGACTGTGGGCTGACTTTCAATCCCCTTCCTGCCTGTGTGTGCAGATTTGGCATCCTTGTCTTCTATGAACTAAGATCCACAGCTCATGTGTGCACACGAAGTTTGTTGTTTTTTTAAGGCCAGTAAGTCTGCATCGTGGCCCCACACTCCTTAGAAATAGGGATCCCTATGCGTTCTCTAAGAACTATCTATTTGTTTATGTGTTATGTGTGTGCCTAAGTTTAAGTGCCCATGGAGGCCAGAGGGAATTGGATCCCTTGGACCTGGGGTTACACGAGTTGCCTAGTGTAGGTGCTTGGAACTGACCAGATCTTTTACAAGAGCAGCAAGTGCTTTTAACTACTGAGCCATCTCTCCAGCCCCCACACCTTCATTTCTTAACTGAATAGAAAAGTATTCACTTCAATGCTTATTTAACAGACAAAAACAATACAAAACAAAAAACCAAAAACCCAAAATCAACCACCTAAATGCCCAACAGCCAGAGACTGTCTGACAGTCACCTGCTGCATGGCCTAGTCTGACTTCTTCACGGCATTGAAAATGCATGTTCAGAGGGAAAACATACTACAGACCGGGTCTGGGTCTATAAAGAACGTATGTGCTGAGCTGTCAAGATGGTTCAGCAGGAAAAGACACATGTCACCAAACATGACAATCTGAGTTCTATCCCCAGGACCCATGTGGCTGAGGGAGAAAAATGACTCCTGAACTGTCCTCTGCCCTCACGATGCCACAGCTTACCAACACATTAACACACAAAGCAAATAAATACATGTAATGATTTTAAAAAAGGAACGAACATGCCTGGGGTAGAGCAGCTAGAGTGAATCAGCTCAAGGCCAGGCTGTGGGAGGCTCAGGGGGAATCCCTCCCCCCATGTCCAGTGTGGCCAGTTTCGTTTTCCATTCTTTGTACAGCGGGGAAGCATACGCAGTGTGCGGCAGTGCAGTGAGCACAGTGCTCGGGCCAGTGCTGCCCAGGGACCGGAGAATGGCCGAGCTGCCCGAGATCCTGGGTGCCTATCATCCTCACATCACTCATGCCCCTACTCACCTAGACCCCCGTGTGCCCATTCCCACCCATGTGCGCAGCCACACACTCATCCACACTGATATACAGCTGACACAGGCCTGCACACACACACACACACACACACACACACACACACACACACACACAC